ATTAGAGATGAAAACGGCAAACTCCTTGTTAACATACTCAGTCCCATTATCTGTTCGGAGAATCTTCACCTGTACTCCAAACTGTGTCTTCACATAGGCCGAGAAGCCTTGAAAACATTTGTAAACCTTAGATTTCTGTTTCATCATGTATATCCAGACCATATGTGAATAACAATCAATGAAAGTAACAAACCATCTAAAACCACTAATAGAGGTAGTAGGACATGGTCCCCAAACGTCAGAATGGACAAGTGCAAATGATTCACAACTTCGAAGACCAATCATTCTATAAGTAGAACGAGTATGTTTTCCAAGTTCACAGGCATTACAAAATAACTCTTTTCTATCCACTTTCTTCATTAACTCAGGTTCTAATCTATTCATACTCTCAAAAGATAAATGCCCTAACCGGCAATGTTGAAGCATCGCTTCTGCCTCTGGTCCATCGCTAACAGTAGCAGCAATCATTGCAGCCTCCTTGTTCAAGTACTAAAGGCCATCACGCCTGATGCCAGTCCCAATCCTCCTCCCCGTTTCCTTCTCCTGGAAGACACACAAATCTCGATCAAATAACACGGCGCAATTTAATTGATCAATGAGAGAGCTAACTGAGAGTAAGTTAACTGGAAACGAAGGAACATGCAATACAGATGACAAGGTAACAGATGAAGTGCAATGGACCGAGCCAGTACCTCTGATGGGTTGGGATGTCCCATTAGCAGTCTGAACTGTCTCAAGATGCATATGCTTACTCGGATAATATAATGCAAACTCACTAGATGCTCCTGTGACATGCCTAGATGCACCTGAGTCTATGATCCAATCAATATGAGTTTTAGTGGATGCAAGTGCCTGAACCTGTGTACCTTTGTTCGCACGAGCATAACCAATGAAGTTACCAAAGCATGTAGTGGTATCCAGATCCTGGATGACTTGTCCCTTGCCCTTCGAACTCTCAGCCTGAAGCTTGAACAGACGTAGTTCCTCCAGTTCTGTTATTTCAGCTCCAGTCATCCCAACAGTAGTCTGGGACTCATCTGCCACAGCTAGGTGAGCAACTCCTCGGCCTACACGTCCCCTGCCTCCTCGACCTGCACGACCACCTCTCTGTCCTCTGCCCCCTCGGTTACCACCAGTGTTGCGGGGTTGAGGGCAATTGTAGCTGAGATGCCCTTTCTTTCCACAATTATAGCACTCTCTATCATCTCTGATATGAGCATCTGGAACCACCAATGCCGAGCGAACGGCAGGTGAGGCCTCACCTGTCATCACCTTCTGTCTGATCTCCTCTTGTTCCATCGATGCAATAGCCTCATCTAAGGAGGGGAGAGATGACAGATGGCACATTGCTGCCCTCCTTCCCTCAAACTTTGGGTTCAGGCCCTTAAGAAAACAAGCCACACGCCTGCGCTCAAGATACTGCCTCCCCAAAAAAACATCTGCTGGGTTTTGTAGTGATAATGGATCATTGTGATCCAAATCCGCCCATAAGTGACGTAGCTCTGCTGCATACTGGTGAACTGTCTTCTCTCATTATGTGGTAGCATCAATCTTCTCCTCCACTTCCATCATCATCATCACACTCCCAGCTTCAGAGTACATCCCCTCTAATGTCTTCCAGACATCAGCTGCACTTGAGATAGACTCCACCATCCCAGCTATGGTTGGAGACACAGAAGTCAACAACCAAGAAACCACAAGAGAATTAGTATTACTCCATGTGTTCCACTCAGCACTCGCCTTATTGTCCTGCTCAATGCATTCCCCCTTCACATACTTTTCAAGTCCTTTGATTCGAAGGTTCAGCAATGCCCTCCTAGACCAACTCAGATAGTTTCTTGTCCCCTCAAGCTTGATGTCATTCGGTAGCAACTTTACCCTCTCCATTACCTGTGCCGACTCCGATGCGGTCACAACCGACCTACTAGAATTCTCTTCTAGTTTGGTCTGAAATACCCTGGCCACCCGCTCCAGGATCTCCTTCAATTCCTGACTAGTCGCAGGCGTCCCCATCTTCACAGTTGATCCCTTAACTCAAACCCAACACAGGATCTTCAGCCTCCACTCCGAGGTTTTAGCTTCTTCTCTATCAGTCTACCCTTCTAATCTCTCTTTCTCAGCAGCATCAGGTGAGTCAGCCCTTCTAATCTCTCTTTTTCAGCATTTGATGAGAATCAAAGGGCCAAAGAAAAAATATGTTGGAGAATCAAAGAGGCTAGGACCGGACCTTCAGATCCCCAAAAAACCCAAGTTAGGGTTTTTCCAAATTAAAGAATGGCAGGAGGCGGAAAGGGCGGGAAAGAGAGACTTTGTCGGAGCGGTCGGGGATCTGGGCTTCGTCGTCTTCGTCGGAGCGGTCGGGGATCTGGGCTTCGTCGTCTTCGTGGAGACTTCGTCGGAGACTTGGCAGAAGGTTAGCGATGGCGTTTCTTCGTCGTCTTGAGATCTGGACTTAGTCGTGGGGATCTAGGCTTCGTCGTGGGTTTCGTCGGATCTTTATCTTCGTCGGGCTCTTCGAGAACACGATCCTGTGCGCGAGACCCGAGAGCTCCACAATCATGCCCAGCTCTGGAAGGCGCCGTCACATAGTTCTGATACCATGTGGAGTTTTGGGTGAAAATTAGGGTTATTCTCTATCATAGAGAGGTACCCATTTTATATAAGTGTACTATTACAAATAGGTCCTTACAACATTGACTAATTACTATCTAAATAATTCAACAAACACATTATCGGAATTTGTTGATATACCCTCATTAGAAACCATGAACTGGAGGAAGTTCATGAATTCAGACATGAAACTACCGGTTTCAAGTTGATATACAACTTCTCTCTACAAAAAGAGGCTAAAACGTTCAAAATAAAACGAATTCTATTTTGGGTAAGCAAAACGTGAGGATATCATCAAAGTAGATGATATAAACTTGCCCAAGTAAAGGACATGAGAACTGTTTCATAACCCTACAAAAAGTGCTAGGTCACTGGACATGCTAAAGAGCAGGACTGACCAATCATAGAAACCAATTATAATCTTAAAGGCAGACTTTCATTTGTTTCCTTTGGAGATATGAATTAATACCCACTTTGAGGTTCCATTTTCTAAAAGATGTTGATAGTCATCATATGCAATAGGTCATGAAGTCTAGAAATGAGATTCATACTTAACCATGATTTCAGTGTTGTAAAAAGCAGAAAAAAGCACTAAAAAAAGTGAAAGTGGCACCTTGCCACTCTGCTTAAGGCTGAAAGCGCTTTTGAGACGAAAGTGGCTTCAATGCAGTTCGAAGCGGCCCAACAGTGCGGTCGAAAAGCAGCTCAAAATAGCCAAAAGCAGCCAAAAGCAACACAAACACTAGTGTCAAGTGGTTGACTGCTTTGTGTGGTATTTTTCTATGTTTTACCTGGTTTTTTCCCATGATTACATGTTGTTTCTTCTGTTTCTTATAGAGGATTCTACTTGAAGTTTGGAAGAAACTTGGAGTAATATAATGATGATTGTAATTAATAGATATGTGTTTAATAGGTATCTTATTTAATAGGTATGTATTTAATATCATCAAATATGCATCTCTAGAAAATTTCCCTTTATTTTTTGCTTGTCTAACAAATTTTTTGATTTTCTCTCATTTCTATTGAATTTTATCGATTTTTGAAATTTCAATAGGATTTGGACCATTTTTTCTTGGCGCTTTTTCTTTTCACTTTGAACCGCTTAAGCCCCAAAAAACCTAAGCCGTGCCTAACCGCTTAGCTCTGCAGCTGCTTTCTGGTTTCCATAACCTTTCATGTCACGAGATCTATGACATATGCTTAAAATCCCTTGGGAATGAAATCCATCATGCATATTATCATTAAAAATCAATGAGAACAAATGAATCTCAGAAGAGTGTGCAGTTAGCTCCCTAGGAGCCTTGATAGTAGTGGCTACAATCATACACATTAGTTCTTCCTTTTAACTCTCTCGAAGAAATTGGTTCTTGTTAAAAATCTGGACAATCTTGTTGCCCATTTAATTTGTAATAAGTAATAACCTCTTTTTTACGGTTCTTTGAGTTTGGAAGGTGTCAACATTATTTTTTTAAAGAAATTCTTTATAAATTAAAATTTTTTTTCCTTGTAAAAATTTACTCACACAAACATAGATGATTTTCTCATATTGAACTCGTACCTTACAACTTCAGAATTGGGAAGAGTAAGATGTTAAGTTATGATCCATAAGATGAGACTGTTGTAGGGTAGAGCTATTTACAACAGCATGCTGTCCCATTCTGTGTGGGCATATGGATTCTTTTCATCCAAAATTCAGGCTGGAAGCAGATCATACACTATTTATTTTGCAATAGAGATTGATGAAAGTGATGATTAAGAGCGACAGGGTCAGAGTTGGTCATAGTTGGTCCAACCAATAGGACTAGTGGTAGACTTAAATGAAATGACAGCAGGAAAAAAGCCTTTATCCCAAAATTTTGAGTCAACTACTAAAATGAAACTAGATTATCGGGTAAATAATCTGACATTTGCTCTTCGAAAAATGAAGAAACTAATAACTAATAGCCCTTCTAAAAATGAAATAATTAATAGCCCTTGACAAGCTGAGAGGGGAAAAAAATTCATGCAGGTGGACCCAAAGATTTGGGATCAAGGTTTTGTTCTATATTGTTATTTCCAACTATGCCAATAACTTTATAAAGTGAGATATTTGTTCAATAATTCATGCAATATTTAGAGATAACTATGATTTGCTTTTATAATGTTCCCTTTGGTAAGCTCACATTGTTTATCTTCAAAACATGACTTTCATTCTGAATTAAAATTTTGTTTTATCATTTTTTTGGAAATGACATCCTTGAAAAACTCGGTAGATCTGTTACAATACTATACTACTATTTCTCATTATCCTCTTTTTTTTTCGGTTGCTTGAATAAATCCTTGTCACTTTTGGATTCTCTTTGAATTGATAGTGCAGTGAAATAAGATGCTAATGTTTCTGAATTAACAAGATTGCAGCAGATGTGACGCCTCCTGGACCAGTTCTAAATATGTTATCTTTAATGTCATACATTCTTCCTGAAGCAAAGTTGTTTCCACAAAAAGATATAGGTGATCTAGCATTCAGAGAAGCCCATAAAAGAAAATTGGTCAGTTTCTTCTTCCAACTATATTATTAAAGCTTTAAGAGTAACTAAAGTGGCCCTTTCAGCCTTTCTCATTCAAAATCTTAGATTTTAGCAAGCTCATAAATAGCTATTACCCTTTTGCTGTTCTGGAAATAGATAAAAACCTAAGTTTACCCTTTTAATAGCTACGTAGGACCTGCTTAAATGGAGAGGTAAAAAGATTTTAGCTTTCCTTCTTTGGAAAAAAAAGGAGAGATTTTAGCCGGATGATTTAGGCAGAAAATGAATCCAATACACTTTGTTATTATTAGTAATTTAATTACGATGTATAATTTGGGATGTATAATAATGTATAGTTTTTGAAAAGAAAATGGTGGTGTAGTACAAAATAAGCTCCAAAATCTCATGAAGCATCAATCACTAGAAGAACATTAGAGGGTGGCAGTAAAGTATGATAGTGATCAGAAAATTAGTGTTCCTTGGTTAATTTATCTAACCATTGTATTCAAAGCTATGCAATTGATAAATCTTTTCCAATGTGTAGGCTGAATTCAATGTGATCTCGTACTGTGACCAAATGCGACTAAAGACAGCAGTTGAGCTTATTAAGGCTACCCAGGATATTGAATCAGAACTGGAGAAGGTAAGCTTTCTTTTTCTTGATCTATGCATTTTTTCCCTTTTTCCTTCTATTATAGGGACACATATATTCATCTTTACTAAATATGTCAGTCGAGTATAAATCAAAAGGAGAAGTAAT